CCCCCCCCCCCCACCCCATGTGTATTAAGTAATAATACTAATTTGTTATTTAGGTTAAAGTGTTCAGATTAACTTAAAGTAATCGAGATTATACGAGTGAGATTTGTTTTAGTGGTAGAGTACTGCGAGAGTCGATATTACTGAGGAATCAGAATACTTTTGCTTCTCACTTCTGTTGTTAGCAATAAGTTTTCCGTGGAATTTCGGAAATCTGTTTTATGCAGCTTGACAAGGAAATTTTGAGTGGGTAATATTTAATTTGATTGTGAATTAATTTGATTCAAAAATAATAGATGAATTAAACAGAAATATAAGACTTAGCCTTAAAATTGGAATAAACGGCAGATATTTTGGTCTCGGGCGCAGAGCTACCGGGAGCAATAAGAACAATACAATAAACAAGAAAGTAAAAATGTTATTGAGCTTTTGATAGAATATAGTGTATGTTTGTCAGAAAATTTGCCCCCTCTACAATGATGATAGAACTTACTATTTATAACTGCACCTATGGAACAAGGTCCTAGGATTAAGCTCCTTTTTAATGACAATTATGAGGGTCATTGAAGGATAAGTAACGGTGGATCATGAATGTCATATTCTCTGTAACGATCATGCACTTAAAACTGTAGAATATTCTTCATTGAATGCTATCGGATGACGACATTAATTTTGTCGTTATGAGTATCGTTCTCTCCAGTGACAAGTGAGATCATTGCCTTCGGGTTTAGCTATCTCCTGTCTTCGATTCCACGTGTTAATTTTTCATGTGATCATTAAATATGAACATATTTTACTCCATACAAGTACAAAACCCTTTACATGTATGAGCAATTTCTCATACAATTTGGGGTCCTCATTTTGTCCAACCAGTCGTGGAAGCTTTTACTCGAGGGGATGCTCTTGACCCAGTCATGAATATTGCTTATTCTGGTGTTTATGAGTGGTGGTATACAATTGGTTTACGTACTAATGAAGATCTTTATACTGACGCTCTTTTTCTATTATTTCTTTCTGCCATATCCTTAATAGCAGGTTGGTTACATGCAACCGAAATGGAAACCAAGTGTTTCCTGGAATTCAAAAATGCCAAATCTCGTTTGAATTATCATTTGTCAGGACACTTTGGTAAAGCAGAAGCGGATCCTGAATTTAAAATTTACATGTTCCTACAACAATCTTAAGTTAATAAATTAGGTTCCAAACTAAATATCGCACACATTTAATAAATCTTTAATACAAATACAAAATTTAGACAAAAGTTACTGCATCTACGTGAATTCGCAACATTTGCACTAGATCCATCCCTAGAGTGAAGGAATAAGGATAAGCGCTATTGATATTTTTAGATAGCATATCTCACTTGGTGTAGGGCTTACTCTCTATATTTGTCTTCATCATTTTGATACTTTCATTTTTCGCTACATTTATCCATCTGTTAGCTTGATATCTAGTCAGGTGAGTGATAGTCGCTCCGGTTTACTACTCCCTCCGTTTCAATTTAGATAAGTTAGTTTGACTTGGCTCAACGTTTAAGAAAAAAATGAAGACTTTTGAAATATGTGGTCCTAAAAGCTTAAGGGACAAAAGATTTGTGGGGCCATGATATTTGTGTTCAGAGGCGGAGCCAGAATTTGAAGATTATGTGTTCGGAGTTCTAATCATTTTAAGTTACTGGGTTCTAAATTAATAATTAGTACATATTCACTAAATTTCATTAGACAACTACAGGGTTTGGATCAAAACTGCTAGGTTCTGTCGAATCCGTAGCTAATAGGCTAGCTCTGTTCCTATCTGTGTGACTATAAAAGCTTCTCATTAAGGATAAAGTGGGTAAATAAAAAATTTAAAGTTGAATTGTTTCCAAATATAAAAATATTTCATTCTTTTTGGAACGGAATAATAAGAAAGTGTGTTATTTAAATTGAAATAGATGAACTAATAGATATGTCGCAACTAGCGTAACAAAAAAAAATACGTAAGAATAAAACGTGTTACTTTCCACCCTCGAGGGTCGGTTTGGATGCTAAGGAATTAAACGTGCTTCAAATTTTCTAAATATATATTTTTCATTAAAAACTAAAAGGTAGACTAATCTTAGTTAAAATAATCCAAGTGTTGTACTAAGATCAATTGTTGCCTTATTCACAATTCTTCTCATAAAATATTATCCGCTTAATTACAAATTTATCTCGATAATGCAAATTATTTTGTAACGGAAGATAAAATTATGCTGATTTTTTAGCAGAAAAAATAATCCGTATGATCTAATTACATGTGAAAGAAGTGGACTAACCAGCTGTAATAAAAATTAAATTAAATAAATATTGTCAAATCGTCTACCTGATTGAAAGAGATGTTGGTGTAACATTCATACTAATAAACTAAATGTAGTTGGTTCTTTAGTTGTCGCGTTATTATTGAATTTTATAAATTTAAATCAAACGTTTATAATAAAGGTGGTGGTGCACCCATCAGCCTCTAAAATTCTGATTCCACCTTTATTGGTGCCTAAGAAAATATTTACCTATTCAGGCAAAACAACAAGTACATATCATGTGTCATTTATATATTTATACGTAAGAAAACATTTTTGTATATTTCAAAATAATAAGTGCATACAATGTGCTTTTTAAAGGTGGCGGTGCACCCATCTGCCTCTGAAATTTTGAATCCGCCTTTATTCATACCTAAAACGAAATATTTACCCGTGATACACATGAAAAGCAACAAGTACATGTATATTATGTGTCATTTATATTTATACCTAAGAAAACATTTTGTTTATTTCAAAATAATAAGTGCATACAATGTGTTTTTTAAAGGTGGTGGTGCACCCATCGGCCTTTGAAATTTTGAATCCGCCTTTATTCGTGCCTAAAAAAATATTTACCTCCACTATTGTAACGATCTGGTTGGTCATTTCGAAAGTTGTAGCCT